GTGAATAATTCACTCTTACGGAATACAGAATATCAGAGTTGGAAAGACCTGGAAGTCTTCTAGTTAGTACAAACCCCCTGCTCGAGCAAGAGATGTTATAACATTCAAGATAAATGGCTGTCTAATCTCTTCTTCAAAAATTTCAATTAAAAACAACTTCTGGAGGCAAGCCCCTTCCATTGACAAATTGTTCTCATTGACTAGAGGTTTTGCCTTGATTCTAAGTTGGATCTTTCTTTGATAGGTTTCCATCCATTGCTTCTTGTCTTGCCCTCAAGTGGTTTGAAGAATAGGTCAACCCCCTCTTCTCTCAAATACTAGAAGACTGCTATCATGTCACCCCAAGTCCTTCTCTTCATCAGACTACTAGACATACCTCGTTCCCGCAATTGTTCATAGCATGCTTTGGCCTCCAGTCCCCTAATCATCTTTGTTGATTGAAAAAAAATATCTTCTGTATTTTGTCTTTATATTTATGTATGACTTTCTTCACACAGACACACACACCTGTGCGTGTGTGTGTGTGTGTGTGTGTGTGTGTGTGTGTGTGTGTGTCTACGGGAGATGGGTGGGTCAAAAATATAAGAAGTATAAAATACAAAATATTAATACATTTATTCTTTCATATTCTCTATGCATATAAATGTATTGAGTGTAGATGTCCTTCTGTGGCCAGAAACCGTGAAACTCCTACTGCTGGTATATATATTTTTTTATTCCACCTCACCCCCACCCCCCACCCCCAAAGCCTTGGAGTGGAGCAGTTTATAAATCTTATACATAAAAAATTGAATCACGAGCTGCTCCCCTTAAAATAAAAATGATGGCGTTGTTGGGCCATCAACTTGGAGGACTGTTACTCTATATTTATGGGGGGAAAGTGTTAAGGACCCCACAATCATAATCAGATAGGACGCCACTTAGTTTTAAGTGCCTATTAACTGATTCTAAATTGTAGTGGAATGTCTCTGCAAGTACTTTTGACATTCACATTTATATAGCTGCTCTGATCAAAGCTGATGGAAGCATATAGCAAATGAGCCAATGTTAATGCAGCCTGTAAAGCATCACAGAGTGAGTTGCAAGCAATCGTTGATTGTCTCTTTTCTCCTCCTCCTCCTCCTCCTCCTCCTCCTCCTCCTCCTCCTCCTCCTCCTTTTCCCCTTTTCTGTATAGTTATTTTACTATCCCATTTACCCTGCTATTTTCATTGGAGGAACAGAATGATTTTAAGGCCATTCAGTGAGTATGTGTGTCTGTATGTAAAACTCAACTTGGATTATTTTTTCCCCTTAAATTGTGTATTTTTAAAAAATTGTGTTTGGATTCAGTTGGATTATTTTTCCCTTAAATTAACCCTTTGTCATTTATTGATGGATTTTTTGAAAAGACATAACGGCTTGGTTAAAAAAACAATATCTGCATTTCTTCCATATAGAGTTATGGCTATGGATTTTGTATCAAAACAATCCTCTGATGATAAAATGAATTAAGGGTAAATAGTAATTTAATATCCTCTACCATCAAAGTCTTAGATTAATGGGGACCCTATACCACATCCTGATTAAATTGATGTCCACTCTATTTTTGAAAACCAGCGATGGTGCACTCACAACTCTCAGAGGTAAGCCGTTCCACTGGTTAATTGTTCTCACTGTTGGGAAATTTCTTCTTAGTTCTAGGTTGGATCACTCTTTAAGAAGCTTCCACCCATTACTTCTTGTCCTGCCTTGTGGTACTTTATAGAATAAGTCAATCCTCTCTTCTCTGTGACAGCCCCTCAAGTATTGAAAGACAGCTATCATCTCTCCCCCAATCCTTTTCTTTGATAGGCATTTGGTAGGAATACTTTCCTATTTATTATTATTTTCCTTCAGAGAGGTGGGCAAATTTGCTAATGAGTTCTGAATCAAAGACAGTTTTGTTTGTTTATTTCCTCTATTTCTTTTCCCTGACTGCTCTTTAGACGGTCAGATCCTGAAGTTGAAACTCAAGTACTTTGGCCACCTAAAGAGAAGGAAGGACTCACTGGAGAAGAGCCTAATGCTGGGAAAGATGGAGGGCAATAGAAGAAGGGGACGACAGAGAATGAGGTGGCTGGATGGAGTCACTGAAGCAGGAGGCCTGAGCTTAAATGGACTCCAGAAGATGGTAGAGGACAGGAAGGCCTGGAGGAACGTTGTCCATGGGATCGCGATGGGTCAGACACGACTTCGCAACTAACATCAATCCTTTGCTCGCTACAAACAGAGTGGGACTCCTTCTAATGGCATGCTTTGTTCCTCCCCACTGTCTATGACAGTGTCGGCTGGCGACCCCCAGGGGGAGAGCCTTCTCTGTGGGAGCACCCACCCTCTGGAACGAGCTGCCCCCAGAGATCCGGGTGATTCCGGATCTCCCCTCCTTTCGCT